TCGATGCCCGCACGGTGAGCCTTGAGCATTTCAAACCACAATCCGATCTCAGCTGATGTTCTCATCCCACTGAGGGGCCGGTCCTTCGGCAGCCCTGTTGTGAAATGGATGTGTCGTCTGCAACGATTCGGACCTCCAGCGAGAAGTCCACGTTCCAAAATACTGTGATAAAAGTCCCAATAGGTACCATGCACAGCAATTTTGGGGAGTTCTTTCTCACCCAGTTTGGTCAAGACCGCTTCATTGTCGACCGAGCGGATCGAGTGGCCCTGTACCGCTCTGACAAACAGGCTCTTTCCCGGTGGCCCTTCCTGGATGTAGTCAGGCTCCACCTGCTTATACGCAAGCTCGAACCTAGCCTTGTCATTGAATGCCACTGCAGCAACGATTTCGCCTATGCTAATGCGTTCTCTCTGAAAGCGCTTGGTTTTCCGGAGAGCAGTGGCGGAGACGAAGCCGTCAGCAGATATCGAGAGGCCGGCTCTTTCTGCGCTGTGACGCAGGAGATTGGTGAGCGCCTTACTGACTTCCTCTTGGCGGCCTCGCGCCAGCCTGCGAATCCTTATGGAATGCTCGTCCTCGGCAGTCATGCTCTGGAGTTGTTCTGTCGAGGATGCGGCTGCAGGCCTCGGCTGCCTGGTCTCGTCTTCTGAGGTTTCTTCAACCGTTTCAGCGTCCGAGTCCTCAATGGTGCAGAGTTGACCTTCTCCTTGAGGAGATCCGGGAATTGGTCTGGCCTAAGGGAGTGCCTGTTTCTGAGCCAGGTCTCCGGCCTCGCCACTAGTCTGGTGATCATCGGATCGCAAGACCTCAGCCCCTTCAGTCTCCCCGGCTTCATCCACAGGCTCCTCATGGCTGCACTTCTGGGCTTTCGGAGCAGGAGGAGGCGTCTCCGGTATCTCTTCCGATTCGCGCACATCTTCATTTCTGTCCTCCTGCCACTCCTGCCACCAATCTTTGTCTTCTTGCCTTCTCCAGCTGGAGCTCGCAGCTCCCTGTTCCTCTTCATGGCAAACCCACTCGTAGTTCCACCAGTTGTTATCTGCATCATAATCGCAACTGTACCACCATTCAGCTTTGTGGGAATCGGCAGAAGGGGCCGGTTCATTCAGCTCCCTACGAGCTTCACGTTCTTGTCTCTGCCGTTCTTTCCAGTGTGCAGCATGTGGTGCTCGGGCTGCACGTTCGCCCTTGGTACGGCGTCGCCTGCCATCTGCACGCCAGCGGCTACGAGGGGCTCGGCTCTTATCCCTTTCATTTGCCTCAGCCATGATGGCTGTGGTAAGTGCCTGATTTGGAACAGGTGGTGCAAAGCGTGTCTGCTGCAGCATCACATACATTCAAGTCACGGCACTGAGTCACTGGGCTCATTCAGACTGTGAGGCCTAAAGCAAGTGCAATCCCCCGCGCTCAGTCCTGGATGTGGCAGAAGCTTGTGCACTATTGGGGCCATGTCTGGCAGCCCATCGATCTGGGCGTGTGCATCAGGTGATGGTGTATGCATATACCCGTGCGTCTCAGGATTCCAATAAGACAGTGTGGACATGGTTTGCAAGCAGAGACATGTCCACTAATACATGTATGCGACACAGCACTGGCATGTATGGTTCTGTGCTGAGAGCTGAGGTTTTGATTGAGGTCCAGGCCACTGGGGACAGCTTCTCTCCAAGGCAGGTGGCAGGTGCAGCAGTGCTCAATCCATGTGATTAAGTAGACTATCACTGGACCTGGCCACTTCGAGCATCATCACTCTCCTGATCCTGCTGTTGCGTTGTGCCACCCTTGCGTCTGGGGGGTAGCGGTGTGTCAGCTTGCGTGGATCTGGTTGGTGTTTCATATCCTCGGTCGGGTTGTCGGTGGTGCTGGTCTGCTGCAGTGGCTTCAGTGACGGCGGCTGCACGGGTAGAGTGTGAGCGTGGCGGCGTGCTCGGCTGATTTTCCGTGTAGAGGGGAACATACACAGAGGGGGCCGGTTCACCACGGGCCACCCTAGAGGCGTGCTCTTCTCTTCGGTCTTGCTCTCTGCTGGCACACCATGCTGCAAGTTGTGCGAGACAACTTTGTCTCTCCTCTTCTGTAGCTTGCTCAAGGTATCTGCCAATGGCATCGGCATTGCCGATGGAGGCAACAATCTCGTCACTATTGACCTCGGGGCGGTTCTGCTGAGCAGACCTGTCGGACATGCTTGTGCAATACCGTCCTGTGGCGCGAATGACTGAGGCTGGAGCCAATCATGCAAGCAATCATGTACCCAATTGATAAGCATATAGGGGCCACAGGGGCAACCCTCAAAAATGCATATTGTCGACAGTTGCCAGACTGGAGACACGTGTGTTTGCATGAACAGCTTTATCAATGGTTTACTCAGGAAGCCACATATCCTCCATATCTCGTTCATGAAGGAATTTGCTCCATGCACCCTGCTCATTACGCCACAGGCTCTTGTAGATAACATGCGGGTAACTCGTTGCGTTGGCCGCTTGGAGGTCTTGCTTAAGTTGTATGCAGCGAAGGGGTCGCTCAACCACTCTGCAAGTGTACTGTGCATATTGTTCGAGAAACAACGCATATGTTTCATCCACATTGCGGTCCTGGTTCGCCTTGTAACATGGATTCAATGTATGACGTTGCACAATCTGGGAGCACTTTGCTGAAAAACTACAGGTGCTGGTACATGTCCGCTTCTTCCAACTTTGTGTCCAGGATTGACCTGGCTTCGTTGTAAACTGCAGGGTCGTTGGCTTCCTGGGATTTAAGATATATCCACAGGCCCAGCTGTCTAACTTCATGGACACTAATCCCTTGGAGTCCCAACTGGAGCGCAAGCTCTTCCCTTTTTGTTTGAAACAGCTGCAGCTGTTTCCACCAGGGGATGGCAGTGCCATCGACCCTCCCGAACACAATGCTTGGTTTCACGGTTTTGACCCGATTGTGCGCTGTCTGTGGCATAGCTGGCTGTGCTTCTTTTGCGCTTGGTCCCTTTTCGCATGTTGCTATCAGCAGAGCTATGTGAAGGCAACATCTCCACATCCATTGCATCAAACTAGGTGCAGCCCAGCTAGGGGGCAGGTTTTGAGCCATGGTGCTTACGACTACGACTACTACGACTACTACTACTACTACTACTACTACTACTACTACTACTAGCCGTGCGCTTGCTTCCACGACTCCGCGTTGGTCGTATATGCCGTCGTATATGTTGTTTTGCGCATGTTGCTTTGCTTGGACTCTGTGGTTGCATCTGCTGAAGCTACTACGCAGCTTGTCCAAATGTCCTACGTCCAGCAGAGATGCGCTCAGCAGAGCAGGCATGCCCAAACCATAATAACGCTCATGTTCGACTGCATACGATAACGAGAGCATCCATGCCAAAACCATAATAATGTTCATGTTCGACGGCATGCGATAACGAGAGCATCCATGCCCAAACCATAATAGCGTTCATGTTCGACTGCATACGATCACGAGAGCATCCATGCCAAAACCATAATAACGTTCATGTTCGACGGCATGCGATAGCGAGTGCATCCATGCCCAAACCATAATAGTGTTCATGTTCGACTGCATACGATAACGAGAGCATCCATGCCATGCCAAAACCGTGATAATGTTCATGTTCGACGGCATGGGATAACGAGAGCATCCATGTCCAAACCATAAGTTAATGATATTCCTGGTCTGTAGGTCTTGGGCTTTTTCTAAATGCAATACACGGTCTGCAGTTCAGGCAGGCCCCTCCATGCTGTCCCCGAAGTTCGACCTTGCAAGTATGCTTTAAGTCTCCTGGCTTGCCTAACGCCTGCTCGCCTTAGCGACCCCCGCTCTTCAATCAGCGCCCTCATGGTACAAATGTCTGGTTGATATTCCCTCGAAAATGATTTAAGCGAAACATGGTCGTGGGAGCGGGCGCTCGCCTACTACTACTACTGCTGCTACTACTACCACTACTACTACTACTACTACTACTACTACTACTAATACGACCACTAGTACTACTACTACGACGACGACGACTACTACTACTACTACTACTACGACTACGACTACGACTACGACGACTATTGCTACTACTATTACTACTACTACTGCTACTACTACTATTACTCCTGCTGCTGCTGCTGCCCAGAAACTGACCCCTCTGATGTGATCAAAACGCGTGTATCGCCGCAGCGGCAGCTTCATTTTGGTGCTATTTCAAGTGGACCTCGTTTGCGGCCCTTATTTGCAACCGTTGGGTTTTTTCAAGGAAAACAGTGCGCCCGTTGCAGGCTTCAGCATTGCGGATGGTTACTTTGTTTCGGGAGCATGTCTTTAGCAATCTGAAAATGTCTGACCCTCGCATTTTTAAGCACTTCGTACTGCTGTTTCTGCGAGCTAAATGGAACTCAGAGATGGACATTATCGTGATTGCACTGGGAACTGCAGCGTTCGCAGTCGAAGTAGTATGAAAGTTTGCAAGAAACGGTGAATTGTCCTTGTCTTGGAAGGCAAGCGGTGTGCCAGGAACGTTTTTTTCTTCACAACACGCTTCAGCGTCGCAACTTCTTCAGGTACCAACCTGTGGACTTGAACTGCTCTGGGGCACGAATGTTTTGAACGTTGGGGCATGGATGCTCTGGGAAGTGGATGCTCTAGGGCATGAACGTTATTATGGTCAGAGCAATTTAGCGCCGATACAAGTAATGAACAAGCGGAAGCCCCCCCATCTGGGGGATTCTGGGGGTACGGTTAACAAGGTGCTGGCTGCTGCTGCTGCTGCTACTGCTGCTGCTGCTACTACTACTACAGCTGCTACTGCTACTGCTGCTGCTGCTGCTACTGCTACTGCTGCTACTGCTGCTACTACCATTAAAACAAAGAGGACTGCTTTGCGAGGCGTGCTGCTGTGAATGTGGCAGACCTGACGGCCATCCTGGTGCCGTTGCACTTGGAAGGCACGCAGATTTGCTTGGCCTGCCTTCTGTTTCTTGTCGGCGTTGGCAAAGGCTGCCACTGGTCGCATGGTGCTCAAATTAGGGTTCGCTTTCCCACCTCTCCGGTGCATCTTCTTAAACTTAGCATTCAGTGCGACCAGGCTGGCTCTGGTTCACATCGCCAGGCTGGGCCGATTCCGGTGGCAAAATTGCTTCATTGTAACGTTGCAGCATGAGGTGGAACAGGTCGGACGCACTTGAGATGGCTTGAGAACAAGTAGTGTGACATTTACAAGCGACGTGATATTGCAGCCACTGCTTCCGTCTGTCCCGAAGCAACAGCTACAGTTGTGGGCTGTTTTTTTGAGATTATGTCTTGTCACTTTAGTTGATCTCGTAGCTGCAAAGGTAGCGCTGCTCAAGCTAAATCATCAGGCACACGATCTCTTACTTCGACTCCCTGAGCCTTCCTGTACCTGATCTGCTGGGATGGAGGCACACAGACTCTCTCTAGCTGCTGGCCGGCCTAGTACAACAGCCTTCTTACCCAGAAGAATTGCCAGGCTTACAGAGTTTCTGTCAGCCGAGATTGCAGCTCCGCCAGGACTGCCTTGGTTCATTAAACGGATCTCGTGAGACCTGTTAAGGCATTGTGAAAGCATTGAGGCGATTGGCAGCTGCAAGTGGACAACCGATTGCCGCAGGAAGCTGAGAGAGAATGTTGAAGTTGTTACATAAGTTTTGTGTTTTTTCATTTTTTTGCTTCTCAGGCAGCAGGAAAACTGGTCGGACTGCGGCGTCTTTGTGCTGACCTACGCCGAGCACAGCCTGCAAAGTTGGAGGGCTTGACTTGGTGCATGTTGCGGCAGCAGGCAAGTGCAATGTGAGGGCCTGGATGCTGAATGCAGGTGCATTGTCATGGGTTTGCCTATTGGCAAGGTCCTTAGTTAATGTAGCGGGTCCAAGCCACAAGTCAAGTCTTGCTAGCATGCCCAGGATTTGACGCATCCGTTTCTGGCATGAAGGAGAAGGCCAGCGTAGCATCAAAAAGGGCAAGCACGCTGAGAGGTCCTGCCAGGGATCCAGAGAAGGGGACACATGGGGATACTGTGGAGAGCTAGAGTGAAAAGTTGTACATTTGAGATCTTGCCATCCCATGCCGCAGCGCATCTCCATCGCCTTGGCCATCCTCGAGGGCAGTCTTGCCGGCATTGCAACCGCAGAAAAGGCCTTGTAGCCATCAATCGCAGTCATTGAGTCTCTTAAGGCCACGCCACAGGGCAGAAACTGTGTGCCATCACGGATGTGCACAGACCGTTGCATCTGCGCAGCCGCCGGAGGATGCGAAAGCCTCTCCGCAAAAGTGCACACAGCATACACAGCATGCCGCACCCTAAGCAATGAGGTGCCTTAGTCATAGTCCAAAAAGATCCTGCAGTGCTTCATTGTGTGTCAAGATCCTTGCGATTCAATCTCACCCCCTGTCAGGCTAGTACTTAGCAAAGGTTAGAACAAGATGGATCCAAGCCAGTTGCAAGGCTAAGTCCTGTGGAACTTTGAGATCAGAAGTTTCACCTGGAAGCGGACGTCATCATTGCTAAGTCAGCACAAGTTGCGCCGCTGGTCTAGCCTTCTCCATGATGCTGCGAGCATTTGCAGTGGCAGCGCTTTCCTCAGGGCACCATGCAACAGCAGCATTGTCACAAGCAGCATGCCTGGAAAAGTCTGATTCAGCCGAGGCTGCTTGCAGCTTTTTGATTCCTGCTCTCGGTATGGAAGTAGATTGGTTGGCATCTTAGGGGGAGCAAAACGCCGGATTGCAGCGGACTTTGATGTTCCATTGCGAAACAGCACTGACTGCTATAATGATGTCCAACACTTGTGTTCTCCTATTACAAGCTTACCTAAGGACCAGCTACTCTGATCGTGCTGATTTGCCCATGTCTCAGAAGTGGCGGGAGGAGATGAAGGCGAACTCATATTTTGCATGTAGTGAAGATGTACACGTTTTGCAGTTTGTGTGGGGCCAGGACAAACTCTCCAGTGTGGACACTGAAAAGCTAACGGTAGATCAGAAGCGGAAGTTCAAGGACTGACCTCAACCCCAAATCAGTGTCAGATCTTTGCTGCACCCGAGAGAAGCAGGAACTCTGGCGGCGCGTGAATGGAGATCCGCAGCCAGCAGGTATTTGAATGCCTTTATATTAAACCTAAAGCAATGATCTTGTCAACGTGTCTTGCCAGACCTAAAAAAATAGCAGGCGATGCCATGACGCTGTCAGGAGCTGCGGTTGACCCGGCCTTAGCACCCCAATGTGAAGGGTTCTACCACGCAGGTTTTTGCAGGCCAACGTCAGCTGCGGGAGGGAAAGGAGCAGTAAATAGATGCTTGTGCAAAGGTGCTCCTCTTAGCAGCTGGTGCGGCTTATCTATGGCTGACAAAGCCGGTGACTTCATGATAGCTCACATCTGCAATGCTGTCAAACTCCTGGGGAGGTCTGACGACAGCAAGCCTTTCAGGACGTCCAGCGGCGCCAGCCAGAGCCTCCCTGGCAACAAGACTGACTCTGCTGTCGTCCCAAGCCGCGCAAGCCAAGGACAGTTGGCCAGCCTGGCATGATCTGGCATGTGTTGAACGGTGATGTACCGCGGTGCGGTAGTATCTCAACGCCTATGATAGGCCATGCGCCCACAGGCGTAGCTTAGAATGGTGGCATGTGAATCTCTCTTGCTTCATTGCAACGCGTAACGATGACAGCTGACCCTGCTCGTGCCGCGGAATTGAGACAGTTGCGGATGCGCAGGGCCCCTAGCAAGCGACACATAACACGTTTCACACTGGCCATTGGCAGATCAAGTATGTGTAGTGAACTGCCCCTGGCGCAGCACAGTGTCTGGGTGCACGCTTATGATGGCTTGGACGCCGCGCGTTGCTGGCGCTGAGGCCGTTTTGCAGAGCAGCCGGCAAAGATTGAGTAACAAAAAGCGCCAGGCGTTGCACTATACAAGTATCTACCCAACATTTTCGGAATATCTGCCTTCACAGCATTTCATTTGCCAAATCATATTGGCAGGGTCCCCCCTTCTTAACATAGGGGGTCGCAAAAACGGAAATGTGGAATTTCAACAAGGGCCTCCTAAGGGACTTGGGGAACGATTTGAAGGGGATGGTCTGGATTCTGCTAGGACACCAAAATCAAAGCATCAAAATCAATGCATAGCATAGCGGGCCATCTATTCTTGGACCTGGTCCTGAATAAGGGGACCCCAAACACATCAAGGGTTGTGCAACATGAATCGCAAATTCCACATGTTTGAATAGAACCTTCACGATTCTTCTCTATAGAAAATGACTGAGATGGTCTAATTCGATCATCATGAAATGCCACGGCAGCTTTGGCCTCTCAGGGCACCAGGAGAAGAGCTTTCAATCGCAGACGAACTGCTAAGGTGAAACATGGAAATGAAAATCGCCTTTGACTTCTTGGACGAGACGGTTCTACCACACTTTGAAACGAAAAGCAGATCCTCCATTGCAGGGCGGGTAGGACTCGCAAGTTGGGCGCAGCTCCTAAAAAGCGCCTAAGTGCTAAAGTGCCGAAGCCTCCAGAAAGCAGACGCACGAACCAGCGCCTCAACGCACAAAAGTGCGTTAGCGCCTTGAAGTGCCCAAGCGCCTAAGAGCTCGTATGCTTGGAGGCCTGGAAAGTTGGAGAGGCTTCGAGATTATAGGAGATCTTGTTATCCTTCACCCAGCAGCTGTCACACACTGCGACTTCGGGACTCTTCACGAGGAGCCTCGGCACTTACTACAAGACTTGCCTGGATCAGAAAACACTGGCGTAGCCTGTGCCAACACCTTGCCTCGCTCCCGTGACATGCGAAGAGGGACTGGATTCCGGACGAACAGAACTCCTCTGTCAGCGACGGCGGCTGCCGAATCGATATACCCAGTCTCAACCTGAATCAGCAGATCAGCTGAAGAAACCTTGACTGGCCCTTGGCAAGTTCCGGTCCAAGCCACCGGCATGCAAGCTGGCTGCTCGCTCTCCAACCACTGACTTAACATCCAACATGGCCTTCAAAGGAGCTTACCTCTGATGCGCAGTGGCATCACTGAGTGAGCTCACACGGCAAAGCTATAACCGTGGCAATGTAAGATTGAGGCGATCGAATACCTGTCCAGCCTGGGTGGCATGGTGCTGAAGTCCTCGGGGACCTAGCGATTGAAACCCTACCTGGAAAACCCATTGTATCTAATGGCATAACTGTTGGCATAACTGTAAGTCTCACTGGCACTCCCACCAGTTCGGTGTCGCTCAAGCCATGGAACTCCAGACTAAAGATGATAAAGTAGGGTGCTGGACGCTTTTTGAACTCCATCATGCTCCGAGGAGCAGTGTTGCGGTCTCCCACCTGCAGTGTGGGGCAGGGCTTATAATCCCAAGCATACAGTCCAGCGTGAATTGCTTGCATACAGCCTTCATAGACTTTAGCCACCCACCTCTGTGCAATGAAGCCACAAGCAACTCCATAGTCCAACAACTTGACGCAGCGCACTTGAGCAGAGTCTGATTGTCTTCTGTTTTTGGGGGAGTCTTGCAAGCGATCCTGTGCAGAACTTATGGACTCCCAGCGTGCGGGACTCCCGATGTATGAGCTTAGGCCTTGGCCTTAGCAGCAGCCTTTCGCTCCTTCCTCGCAAGCATTACGTTCTCGGCCTGTGGGCCTTCGCCCGCGGAAGCTCATGCAGGACTTGTTATGGCATAGGACCAATTGCCGTGGGCAAAGAGGCGACAAGAGTTCTTCTTGGCGCCAAGATTGCCGTTACCCTTGCTATGAGCCATCTTTGCCTTTACTTGAGACCCAAAGTGATCGCTGCCTGAAGGGCATGGCGTCTAGCCCTATGGGAGCCATCCTTGATACTGATGGCTGCGCACGGCGTTCAGCGAAAAACGGGACGCTGAAGCTCAGCAGGACTTCAACCTCCCCTCGCTTCGCAGAGGCCTTGCTGGCACACAATGCTAGTGTATGCTCTGGACCACAATGATTGCATTTCAACGCGAGCTGATTGTGTACGTTTATCTGTGTGTTTAGCCGCTGTCGCAACGGAAGTCTGATGCTGCAGAACTGTGTGCGTGAATTTTGCAGCCATCAGCTTCAAAAGCTGTCAATGCATTTTTGTTTTTCTTCTCCAGTGCCTGTGCCTGTCTGACACGTCACTGGATCAGGATCTTGACGCCATGGCTCCTGCCCATCCATCACCGGGTGTAGGATTTCTATTCTGATTTTGCCTGTGCTGAGTTACCAGGTGGTGGCTCCCTGCCCGCAACCTTATTGCATTCTGCCGTTCCTGGCCTGCCACTTTGGCGTCCGCGCCGGGTTCCCCGGCCCAATCTGGGCCCTCAGTTGTGTTTCAGGCGCCCTGACTCTCCCCGCCTGCAGGCTGGTGCCTTCTGCCTCCCTGAGTGGTCTCTGCCTCCTGCAAGCGCTGTCCCCACCGCGCGGGAGCACTCTTCTTGCGTCGCTTGCACTCCTGTTTGGCTTGTTTGCAGCAGTTTGACTCTGTGCTGCAGCGTCAGCATCCAAGCCTTTGCTTCTTGCCCCTGTACTTGACTGTATGGTACCATGTCTACTTCTTCCGCCTGGATGCAGAAGATTCTGGCTCTGGGCGTCGATGGCATCTGAGCCTCTTATATGCTCTGCCTCCTGGAGATGCTATGCGTGTCTCCCGTCTGAAGGGCTCAGCTGTCCGAGTCGCTTCCTGGCTGGAATCAATTTGAATCTGTTGCTGGCAATCTTATCGAGACGGTCCGCCTGATGCAGATCGTGATTGTGGTATATTGGGGTCTTGCTGGCCCTCGTCCTACGAAGATCCACGGGCAATTAGCCGTAGAGCCAGAAACTAATCATTATTATCATTGCTCTGTCGATTGGTATTAATAGCCTTAAAATATTATTGCTATGATTATTCCATGCCGCCATCTACGAAATTAATAAATCCATCTTATATGTAATGATCTTCGGCTCGGATAATGCGGCATATGATTCATGAGGTCTATATATATAGATAATAGATTAGAAATGAATATTTCATTTTATTATTTTTTTTTGATATATTATGATATTTCATTTCTTAATTTCATTTTCTTTTTATTTCATTTTTATAATATCTGAATTACAGAAATTGATCTGGAGGCAGATTAGTATTCCCTCCAATAA